TGGGACATATGGTCAATCAGCGGGGCATAGAAATAAACCCCGAAAAGATTCAAGCTCTGCTTGATATGGAGAGCCCGACCAGCAAAAAGCAGGTCATGAGTCTGAACGGGCGAATAGCGGCACTGAGTCGCTTCATATCAAGGCTAACAAACCGCTGTTTGCCATTCTTCAATGTTCTGAAGGCCAATAAGAAATTCGAGTGGACTTCCGAATGCGAGCAGGCATTCCAGAGTATAAAAGAGCATCTTTGGAAGCCACCTCTCTTCTCTAAGCCTCTTCCACAGGAAATCCTGCTCATCTACCTGTCCGTATCTCAGTTCGCGGTCAGTGCAGCTTTAATACGGGAAGAGGAAAAAGCTCAGTGGCCGGTATATTATACAAGTAAGCGTCTATCGGATGCCGAGATGCGGTATCCAGAAATGGAGCGACTAGCTTTTGCCCTGCTGGTCGCGTCCAGAAAGCTGCGACCTTATTTCCATGCCCATACAATCAACGTAATGACAAATTACCCCCTCAGGCAGGTTCTCCAGAAACCAGAGGCCTCGGGTAAACTGCTCAAATGGGCCATGGAGCTGAGCCAGTTCGACCTAAAGTATAAGCCCAGGTCGTCCATCAAAGGGCAGGCTGTTGCAGACTTCATCTCGGAATTTTCCTATCTCCTAAGCGAGCAACAGTCTAGCGAAGTCGGGCAAGAAACTATTCAGAACCTGTCGACCTAGAACCTCTCTTTTATTTTATGTTAAACACTTTTCTTTTAATAGGTTAATTTAACATATTATGGTGATGATACTTAACTCTCTGAACATGACACCAAGTAACAAGAGAAACTGTAGTTTTAACTGTGAGTTACATTTTAACAAAATGAAGGAAAGAGGTATGGACTTTGTTATGCCTGGGAAAATAAAGGAATGACGTGGAGAGTCACGTGAAGGGTGACCTGCTCCCGTTAGAGCGACACGCACACGTCAGGGCTGCCAAATGATATGAGCTCACACGCGTCCATTTCCTGTATAAATCGTGCGAAGTCAGCTTGGGAAGAGAGCAATGGGACATAAAGCGGATATATCCTGACAATCACACCAAACCATGGATTTAATGATGATTACAAGCTTCAGTTTGATATAAATGAAGAAGACCCCTTCATTAAGGGGATTCGGCCATTTTCATACTGAGAAACACTCTCTCTCCCCCCTGTAAACACATTTACTTTTCCCACTCTTTTGTAAGTCAGTCCGCAGTTGCGACCTGACCCACACTAATATCAATACAAATCAGTGGATGTAGGACTTGCTACCTTAGCATCCGAACCACTTAAAAAAACTCCCTTGCATTTATTTCGCTTATATATTCCATTTCCACGTGTATTTAACAGCCAATCAACGTTACGCACGTGACAATCTTGTTGGTGCAACTTCCAGCATCAACAGTTTGGCGCTAGAAGGAGGGCTGATTTGTGTCTACCCTTCATCAGGAGAATCTTTGACCTACTGGTCTTACAGCAACAAATGGCCCGCAATCTGAGCCTGAGCAGGTCAACTAGCATGCTGAAGGAGTCCCCCCAGCCCAGAGGGACGCCCCTTCCAACATAATTCCAGTTTCGCAAAATGCTGCTGGGAATACCCCAGCAGCTCGCAACTGGACCCTGCCATCAGAAGCTACCTGGAAAGGTTCGACAATACTCTCCAGACAGTCAACCAGAGGTTGGACCGTTTGGACCAAGGCATGTCATCTCGACAGCCGGAGCGGTACAACTGCCAAAAACGCCTGCAGGTCGCCGCGAAAGCACGGCAAAGGGCTATAGCCCGCGCCGCGAGCACTGCAGCGAGTAGCGCAAGGGTAAGCAAGTGGCAAAAAATAAGCCTACGGGCTCCCAAGGGCGGTGAATACAAAAGGGCGCCCCGAGCAGGATGTCGGCAAAGCATGGGACTCGGTGAAAAAGTGAATCCCGAGCTGTCCCATGCCACACGCAGGCAAACCCAAGCGAAAATGCTGGGCGCAATGATTCCGATCACCACAGCAGAACGATCCCCGATCGTTCTCATGCGGGTGGCCCCCCACCTCGCGGGGGCTGTTCGTACAACCGCGAGGGTCGTGAAAGTGCCCCGCACAACCCATCGGCCTTCACACGCCTCTAGTCAGCGTGTGTCAAGTGCGGCCGCGGAAATGCCGGCCGAGGCGAGGAGGAACCGACCTCCGGACTTTCCTGAACCGCAACCGAGAAGGCAGGCTGCACGGGGTGAAAGCAACCCCCAATTGGCTCGTTACCACAAATTGAGGAGCTGCAGCGAGCTCTGGACAGGTTAAGGGAGCAGCAAAACGAACAGGCGCAGGTGCCTCTACATCCCCGTTTTCTCCTGAAGTGCTAGCGTCCACTTCCACCAGGGTTACAGAATGCCATATGCGGCCGTTTGATGGAAACTATGATCCGCAGGATCATTTATATGAGTTCAACGACCTGATGGAGCTCCACCAGGTTTCAGACCTTGCGAAATGCCGTTGTTTGCCGTGACGCGACTTCTCACGCCAAACAGTGGTTAAGGTCGCTCCCAGCGGGATCGATCAGTTCGTGGCCTCAGATGAGCACGACGTTCCTGCGGCATTTCAAGCCAACCGGAAATTTTCAATGCCTTTGAGCTACCTCAGCAACATAAGGCAAGAAAGAGACGAATCCCTGCAGTCTTACATTGACCGCTTCACAAAGGAACTAAACAAAGTGGCTTACGCTCCAGAAGAGTCCATCAGAACTCTTATAATAGCTGGAGTTCGCCCGCAAACTGACCTGTGGAAAGAACTGCAGGTCTGAGGACGATATTTCCCTCACCAGGTTCCATAACCTGGCAGAAAAGTATCTCCGAATAGAGAATTCACTGGCGGCACTCCGCCGTCGTGATCACGGCACTTCCAAGTAGTACGCCTGGTCGGGGAGATAACAGGCGAGCTGATCGCAAAGGAGACACTGACGATCAGCAAAAAGGGAGAAAAGAACCCGTTAGAGCAGAAAAAGTCTTATGCTCCTGTTCCTCGTCGCGACGCGACGGGGCTCAATATACTCCGCTGAATGTGTCCATATAAGCAATCCTTGATAAAGTCTGAGGAGGCCAGCCTGCGGTGAGCGAACCCATGAAAACCCCTACTACGGCCAGAGAAACAACAAAAATACTGCCGTTACCATCGGGATATGGGCACCTACTGATGAGTGCCGAGCTCTAAAGCAGGCTATCGAAGAGCTCATCAAGAAGGGGCACTTCAAGGAGTACATTGATGACTCTCCAAAAGAAAACCAAGGGAGCAAAAGAAAAAGCGCCATGATCGCAGCGGGTACGATAGTGTCAACATAATTTTTGGAGGTCGACCTCGCGGGAAACACAGCAAGGAGTGCAGGAAAGATATGCTCGTGAAGGCACCATGACCGATCAGGGTAATGAACACTTCGCAGCAACCTCAAAAAGCCCGAAAAGAGGAACCAATCACCTTCTGCGAGGAAGAGGCAGCTCGCTTACACCATCCTCACGAGGATGCTTTGGTGATTACCCCCTCATAGGGGTCATAAGTCTGCAGATGCTTGTGGACAACGGGACGCTGTGTGAACATTCTGTTCAAGTCCGCTTTCGATAGAATGAACCTGGCCGAGGCCGACCTGAAGCCAGCCTCGATGCCTCTGTACGGTTTTACAGGGATCACCTAATCCTCAGCGGAAACAATCCAGCTCCCCGTCACGCTCGCGGACTACGACGAGGGTGACTAGGGTTACGAATTCTTGTCGTGGACTGCCCATCGGCCTTCAATGGAATCTTAGGGCGACCTTTGCTGAGAACTTTCAGGGCAGTCACTTCCATTTATCATATCAAGATGAAGTTCCCACTCCATCGGGGATCGGGGAGGTAAGCGGATCGCAAAGCACATCTCCGAATGCTATGTAAAAGCGGTCCAATGGCCGAAAGGGAAGGGCATTTCGCGATGTGGCCCCGCCAGGCCATGGCGATCGACCGGATCGAGCCACAGCTGGTCCAGCGGAGGATAATATAGATCGGGAATTCAGGAAATCCCCCGAGCGGCCCGGTTGAGGATCTGTCAGAAGTTTCGGTTGATCCAAAAGAGCCGAGCGAATGCTAAAGAGGAAGCTGTCTCAATCCTAGCTCACTTCCGAGCTGGTAAGCTTCTTGAAGGAGAACATTGATGTGTTCGCCTGGTCGCATGCAGATAATGGTCGGGATCAGCCGAACGTTATTTGCCATTCACTGAACGTCAGCAGTGAAGCTAAGCCAGTTCGCCAAAAGAGAAGGGCGATGGATCCGGGCGGTACGCCGCGTTAAAATCAGAGAAGTGGAGAACCTTCTCAAAATGGATCTGTTCGCGGAGGCTCTCTCACGACCTGGGTTGCTAACCCGGTCCTGGTAAAGAAGCCAAATGGCAAATGGCGGGACCTGCGTAGACTTCAGCGACCTGAACAAAGCTTGCACGGTCTCTAATTCCATCCAAATATAAAACAAAATTCCACAAGCTTGAGTTTATAGCATCCAGCAACAACAAACACATCTTTCCTGCCCAATAAGACACAAGCAGCCTGACCTGTCAATCAATAATTGATCAAGGGCTTTCCTATCATGGTATCCATATCTGTCGTATTCTGCAATCTTCTAACTATTCAATCACCTATATTCACTTCCATAAGAATCAAACCTCATAAGCTACAGTGCATACAACATAAAATGAATAACTCATATAGAAGAATGTCTTCAAAATTGCTGAACGAAAACATTTTGTAGAGAAAACATTCAACACAATCAACCTAAGCTACATGGACAAAGTAAACCTAAATTTCTGAACGAAAATATTTTTATAACTCCTTCAGACTAACAGAGATGTTAAACATTATGTATTCATACTATGATAATGGTAATCTTACGATGTTCAACTACACACTTATTCTGGCCACAGCATTTATCGTTCACAGATATAAAAAGTAATATTTCATCTTGAAAAAGGAATTCCAAACTTACGTAGCTGTTAAGAGTTTCCACAGCCTTTTCAGCTTCCTCAACAGTACTCATTGTCACAAACCCGAAGCCACGACTCCGGTCAGTTTCCCTGTTGTAAATAACCTGCACCCACAAACATCAAAACAAAACATACCTCAAAACTTTGATTGCTAATATCGCATCAAAATAACCCAATAAAACACAAAACTTTGATAACCAAAAGCAGAATTGACCTCAGCAATCTCAACAGTTCCAGCCTTTTCAAAAAGCATAGCAAGCTTCTGACTATCAACATCATATGGCAAATTCCCAACAAATAACTTGGCTTCCTCAGGTGGTTCGGCAAAGACCTCTTCACTACTCTCTCCCTGGCCTTCACTTGCCTCAATCGCTGTGTCTTCCCCTTCAGGTTCCCAATCTGATACATTTGCTTCGGTCCCATTGGTTTCCTGATTTTCCCAAGAGGGCTCTTCTTGATCTTGTTCCAGAGTGACGGTGGTGTTGCTGATGTCTTCTTCTTGATTGGACCAATCAGAGGAGACAAAGGTGGTGAAGTGAGAGAAATTGGTGTTTTTCTTGAGGTTAAGAGATAGAGTTTGTGAAGATAGAGAGCGTGAGAAATGGAGTTTGAGGGGCCGAGAAGAGATAGAGAGAGATGAATGCGGTGGCCTTGTGGTAGTGGTGAAGATAGAGGGTAGAGAAAGTAGAGAGGTGGAGTCTGCCATTGATAAGGGCTTGAAGATAGGCGTGGTTGAGGCAGACATATTGAGAATTGAAAGAGAGGGCTTCAGAGGAGAGTTGTGAGGATAAGGAGCAGAGGGGAGAGAGAAGAAAGAGAGGTTTAGTAGAAAGACAAAGGGAGAGAGGGTAAAATAATATCAGTCCCAGAGAGCAGGATGTGTATGGTCCAAAATGGCCTGGGAGATGAATGGGCTTATTTAATAACAGTTGGGTTCTGAGATATTTATGGAAGGCCCACTTTGACAAGTGAATTATGTGGATGCGTTTATTTTAGTATTTTGAATAGTATCTTTTAAAATGTAAGAGTTTGATGATAATAACGAGATAAAATTTAAAAATTAATAAAAACATCATTCTAAGTTTGATAATTTACTAAATAGTTATGTAATAAAAATATTAAAAATTACAAAAACACCCCCACTCATCCATTAAATACTGACAATCGGCTACTACCGTCAGAGGGTGGTCGGAGTCACAGTATTGGTGCAAAACTGGCTATATCTGGCCAGTCTTATGCCGAGATGGCCTTTTCCAGCACCAGAAAAGGTTAGATCTATGGTTAGATCTGACCATTGACGACTAGATTTGACCGTGTTTGATCGTCAACGATGACTAAATATATGGTATTCATTGACGACTAGCTATAGCCATAGATCTAGCAGTCAACGGCGAGTTTTTTGGCCATAGATCTGGCATTTTCTGGCCAGATCCAGAGTGGATATGGTTGAAAAAGGTTATATCGACACACTATCGGCCAGATCCAATTGGTAGTACGCCATTATACCAGATTCCGACCACCTTTCGGCGGTGGTGGCCTGAATTTGACAAATGTGGATGGGTGGGGGTGTTTTTGTTAATTTTTAAACTTTTTTTGGGTGTTTAGTTAAAATAACAAACTTAGGGAAACAAACGCACCAAAAAAAAAAAAAAAAGTTTAGAAATTTGTTAGAAATAATTAAATAAAATATAATTGTATTTCCAAAATATGGAAACAAATGTGTATTTGGAAAATGATAGGAATAAAAAAAAAAAAAAAAAAAGGGAAACAAACGCACCCACATTTCGCCTTGCTATGCCTGTACTGTGTAATGCATATGAATGGAGCCCGTGATCAGTCCCATTGCAGGTCAAAGCGTCGGATTTTTTTATGAAACCATTTCAATTCTGGGTTTGGCTGTCTAATAGCAATCGTTTCGTTTTAATTTTATGTTAAAACACTTTTTCTTTTAATAGGTTAATTTAACATATTATGGTGATGATACTTAACTCTCTCGAACATGACACCAAGTAACAAGAGAAACTGTAGTTTTAACTGATTGAGATTACATTTTAACAAAATGAAGGAAAGAGGTATTGAACTTTGTTATGCCTGGGAAACTAAAGGACTGACGTGGGAGAGTCACGTGAAGGGTGACCTGCTCCCGTTAGAGCGACACGCACACGTCAGGCCTGCCAAATGATATGGAGCTCACACGCGTCCATTTCCCTGTAATAAATCGTGCGAAGTCAGCTTGGGAAGAGAGCAATGGGACATAAAGCCGGATTATATCCTGACAATCACACCAAAGCCGCATAGGCAAGAAGAAGAACTTGTCTCGTAGGCCCCGCATTGCTGGGATAGTTTGTATCCCCGCAGCAATGGTAGGTCGCCAAGACAAATAGTATGAGTCCTGTCCCTGCTCTTTTTGAGATAGTAGGCATGCCGAGCTCCACTGCAGTTGGCTCGCCCAAGCCGCTTTCACACATGCATGTACATCGCGACAGCGATGACGTACGCGTTTGGCGTCAGCTGCATCGGCGCGATCCCGAAGTGATCCAGGACTGACCTGATGAAAGGATGGGGAATCCTCCCTCCACCCTTGAAGATCTCTTCAGAGATCGCGGCAAGCCATTGGCCGGGCACCGTGATGACCTGGTATGGTCGAGGAACACCTCCGCTGGACGTCAAACTGCTGTTTAATCCATCGAATTCCTCTGGGGTGAGGACCGAAAGACGTCAAGGGACGCATCCTCGGAACTTCCCGCGGAGAGCTGGCTCCTTCCTCGGGTCTGGATGTTGACGGTTCCATTCCATCTCAACATCGACAGACACGGTCATTTAGGCCTTCGTGTTTGCCCGTGCGGTGGTAGGGGACAAATTCTTAAACCCTAACAGTAACTCGAGCCACCGTACACGACTTGAATCCAATGACGGCGTCACATCCCTGGTGAAACACCGGAGACCCACGCCATCGCCCAATCAAGCAAATGCAAAGAAAAAGAGAAGAAGAGAATCTTACCTTCTGCGATGAGTAACCGAGACCGAAGCTCGTTTCAGTTGCCTGAGAAGTGCCGATCGGAAAAGAATGGTTTCTGGTTTGCAAAGGTTTATCACTCGAAACAAAAGAAATTTGGTGACCTCTCTGAAAAAGCGAGTTTTTTATATGGATTGCGAATCGACGGTTACCACCCCTCGGAACCGAAACGACAGCCCACTCTCTCTCCCCGCATTAAATGCGCCCCACGTCGCATTAAATGCCGTGATATATCGTCGTTTCGAATGCGCTGTGCAACTATGCTGTTCAAAACAGTGTCGGGTCGCACACGATGTATTTATGTGTCTGACAAACGCTTCAGCGCGTGCAGAGCGCCTGACAGTGCAGAACCAGGTTCATTGAATCTCTAAGGCACAGGAAGGAGCGTCCATCAGATCCAGGTCGCTAGGATGAAGATGTCAGTGCTTAAGCAAGGAATTGCGCGAGAGCGTGTTTGCCAAGAGTCCTGTGCCGAGCTCATCCCATTCAGGTCGGAGCGACCAAAACCTCCTATACGGCTTAGTTTCCAAGGTCGACCCTCAAACCTTAAAAACTAGGGGGCTTCTAGCCGCGATCACGACCAGAAAGCTGAAAGACTTCGTTTTCAAGAACATAGTGTGCCGCTACGGAATTCCTCACACCCTCATCTCAGATAATGGAAAGCAATTCGATAATGAGGAGTTCAAGCAGTTCTGCGACGAGCTGGGCATCCATAAAAAATTTGCCTCAGTCGCCAGACCGCAAGCGAATGGCCAAGTTGAAGCAGTCAACAAGACCATCAAGCACACTCTGAAGGCCAAGCTCGGGGCAGCCAAAGGAAATTGGGCTGACGATCTCCCCGAAGTCTTATGGGCGTACAGGACAACTCTAAGGACCTCCACCTCGGAAACCCCATTTTCGCTAGCCTATGGCTGCGAAGCGATGATCCCTGTAGAGGTCGGGACCGGTTCACTTCGGAGGGACCTGTACAATGAGGATGAAAACGAAGCACTTCTGAGAGCGAGTTTGGATCTGGTCGAAGAGCATTGCGGCAAGGCTTCACTAAGGATAGCAGCCTACCAGCAGCGAGCAAAAAGGTTCTTTGACTCAAAGGTCAGGCGAAGAGACTTCCAGGTTGGAGACCTTGTGCTAAAGGAAGTTCTCCTCGGGACTAGAGAGCCAAGTGCGGGGGTACTAGGATCTAACTGGGAAGGTCCGTACCGGGTCGACAAAGTGATCAGACCGGGGACCTACCATCTCAAAAGGTTGAACGGCTCCAAGGTACCCCGAGCTTGGAATGCCGAGCACCTCCGACCATACTATCAGTAATCCCGAACTCAGCTCTCAATTTTAGTTAATTTCGTTCAAGTATTACTTTGTTCGCTCAAAACAGTTCGCATGTGTTCTGTTCGCGTGTAAGAATTTATATGTAATCGCATGTGAATCGATTGTAAAGTGTACATATTTATGAAAAAGCGAACTGCAATTGTAAAGAAAATATGTCTTCATTTATGTACAAAAAGTCAAAGACTCGATTACAATGAGGACAATTCATTACACTAAGGCTGGTCGAGGGGATCCTTCGAGCGGGAACCACCTGCCTGGTCGGGTCCCTGAGCGGCTGCGACGGTCTGGTCGTCCTCCTCGGCCATGATCCGCAAGGTCGCCTGCCAACCCTCCGGGAGGTCGGACAAGTCCAAATCCGGGTTCCTTGCTCGCAGGGTGTAGATGGACCCGATTGCCCAGTTTGCGGCCTTCTCCTCCATCTCCCCTGACTGGTTTTGCATTTCTTCAGTCAGAGAAGCGATTCTCCCCCGGCTCTCCTGGAGCTCGGCCTCAAGAGCTAGCCTTTCCTGTTCGGAGGCCTCCCTATCTTCTTCAGCTCGCTGAGCCCATGCGAAGGTCGCCTAGAGCTCCTGGTCCTTTTCTCCGATCTCCTTAGAGAGCCTGACGGTTGTCCTTTGAAGTTCCTTGACTTCCTCTGCACGTCGATCGAGCTCCGTCTTCTGGAAGTCCACTGTTCGTAAAGCAGCGTTCTTTTGGTTCAGATACCTGTTCGCCGCTTCGAACGCTTGAGTTCTTTCTGCTTCAACGGACTCCAAGCTCTGCTTCAGCTTTGCGACCTCTTCCTGAAGGTCGCTTGTCCTCTTGGCGGCCCCCAGCCGCATCTTTTCCATGGACATCCTCATCGCGAGCAACGCCTGCGAACAAGATATGAGTTAGAAATAAACCAGAATGAAATTTCAAGTACAGTTCGTTTACCTTGCTCAGATGCTGGAACGACGTGTTCATCAGGTCGTCGCCCGTGTCGGCAAACTCGTCGTACGACTCCGATAGCTCGCACTCAAGCAGGCCATAGACTATTGGCTGCAGGTATTCGGGCAGACTCCCCAATGAGTCTAGAACCGGCGTGTCCTTCGCCTTGCCAGCAGCGACCGCCTCGCCCACGGGCTCCTTGCCCGACCTCCTGGGTTCCTGGCGTGACCTCAGAGGCTGTTCCTCAGATTCAGTCTCTGACTCTTCGGGCTGAATCTGCTTCCTCTTCTTCGACCTCTGGGCCGGAGCCTTCCGCTTTGGGCGAGCGGTTGGCGCCTGAGCGGCCTGTTTCGTCCTGGTCGCTTCTTGCACAGGACGGGGCTGGGAAGCCGGGACTGTTTGCACCGGCTGTGCCGGGATAGGACGAGCAGCTTCGGCCGCCCTCTCTCTCCTCGATCGAGGGAAGACGAATGGCGCTCGACGGGGCTGCCTGGACTCCTTTGGAGGCATCGTTTCTGCATTTAAGCTCGTTAGTAAACGAAATCATCCTACGACCAGAAGGGAACCAGTATAACTTACCTTCTG